AAACAGCAGCATTCCTGTTATGCCAACAGCAAAAATGTACTAAGAATTCATTCACACTACAGTAAGCTTTAATGATCACAGGTAGGGGTGCCTGGGTGGCTCAGTCGGTTCAGCGTCCGACTTCAGCTCAGGGCATCTCGCAGTCCGTGAGTTCAAGCCCCACGTCGGGCTCTGTGCTGACAGCTCGGTGCCTGAAGCCTGTGTCTCCCACTCTCTCTGCCCCTCGCCCATTGGTGCTTTCTCTCTCAAAAATAAATGTTAAAAAAAAAAAAAATGATCACAGGTAACAGTTTTGTATTTTTCCACCCACACCCTGAATTAAAATCAGTAATATTACTGCAGTGCAGGTGGCAGCATTAAGGCTATAGAATTTGATCCTGTTGTCTCCCTCAGGAGACAAAATACTAAAATATAAGTAACTTGGTTTAAGTTTTAAAGTTTGATTGCCCTCCAGTTTTAAAGATAAAGAGTATTTTACAATCCTTGGGTCTTGATCACACATCCCCAAACAAAATACAACACAGGTAGGAGAGGGCTCTCAAAACAAAACAATAAAAACCAAAGTGACTCTAATTCTAACAAAAGTGTTAATTATCTATTTCCTGATATCTAAAGTGTTTCTTCTTATAAAACACCCAATGCCTCCTGTATTCTTAAAATTTCTGCCAAATCAGGTTAATGATTAAAGTGCACAATACCTCTATGAAGTATTCTGGGCTCCTTCCCCACTACTCCCAACATACTCCCTCATGTGGGGGGAGGGGGGGGTGAGAAAGAAAAAGAAGATAGAACCTGAAATCTGATCAAGCCTGCAGATCTATCCACCAGTTCACAAATACAGGTGGCACTGAAACATGCTTAACAACACAAAGTATAACCCACAAAATGAGATCTATGAAAAACTGATGAGATTAATATTAAGTATGGCGGTGTGATTATGTTTATAAAAGCAATCTTTTAACCATTAAAAAGAGGTCCAGAAAACACTAGAAAATACTAAGCATTTCAATATGCATTAAAGTTGAGAAGACGGTTGTCACACCTAAAGAGAACTGGAGTACGCTAGAGATGTTAGTTTTCTGGGGAAGAGGATTGGAGGGGTATCCACAATTCCCTTCGTTCTGATAATCCAGAAGTGTAACTTGCAGCAACTTTGCATATAAGAAATGTGAAGATCTTGATAATTAACAGGAATGAATGCTCATGCTCTAAAGACTGGGAATTCTATTGATTGGTTGTAAACAGTTATATTTGCGAGTCATCACATTTATAATGCAATTTCTAGTCTTTCATGTTTCCATTAGTCTTCATAGCAACTCTATTAGTAAGATTATTTCCATATTAGGGATAAGAAACTTGAGATTACATAGGACTTCAGTCAAAAATTTCTTTGCTAAATATTAGGTCTTGGGATTCTTCAATTGTTCTTTTTTTATAGGCTCTAGATCAGCTACCTCTCTACCATAAAAATAAGTAGAACTCAAGATCCCAGAAAGCTAATTAAGAAATGCCGATTTTAGGTCTTGAAATATCTGTGTGAATCTTATGTTCTTAAAGGTATAACTAAAAGGTTTAAATAAACACTAATTTAACCCATTTACATAGGAAGATTCAGAGCTTTCAGCTCATCTCAGAGCCATTATCAATAACCTATTTCAATAAAGAATCCAACATAGTTGATTTAGGACCACTATGTTGTTATGACAATTAATACAAATCTTAACTTTCCAAATAAGTATCTTCACAATGACTTCTCAGTGTGATTAAAAAAAAAAATTTTTTTTTAATCCTTGTTTTAAGTTTTTTTTTTTTTTTTTTTTTTTAAATTTTTTTTTTCAACGTTTATTTATTTTTGGGACAGAGAGACACAGAGCATGAACGGGGGAGGGGCAGAGAGAGAGGGAGACACAGAATCGGAAACAGGCTCCAGGCTCTGAGCCATCAGCCCAGAGCCTGACGTGGGGCTCGAACTCACGGACCGCGAGATCGTGACCTGGCTGAAGTCGGACGCTTAACCGACTGCGCCACCCAGGCGCCCCAATCCTTGTTTTAAGTTTTGAGAGAGAGAGAGAATCTGAAGCAGGCTCTAGGTTCTGAGCTGTCAAAACGCAGCTTGACACGGGGCCCAAACTCATGGTCTGCAAGATCATAACCTGAGCAGAAGTCGGACGCTTAATCAACTGAGCCACCCAGGCGCCCCTCAGTGAGATTTTCTAATGCAATTTTCCTGACTAGTTTCTCTATGCCTGACTAAATGTATTTTCTCATTATAGACCTCAGTACTATACTTGAATCCGCTCTTTACCAGCTACTACCTGGCTGCTCCATCAGTCATCATAAGGCTTTTTCCATTGGCTGAGATTAGAATGGAAGAAAATACTACTTTTCACTGAAACTCTATTAATACCAAGCAAATACACCAGAGTAATTAAAGGTATTCTCTTGCCTCTTGAAAAACTGAAGAATGAGGTCAACAGTGACACCGCCACTAATTTTTAGGATCAAAGAGCAGTGGCAAGAAATTTGAAGGTACTTCTGCAAACATCTAAATTTCCTTACTATTCCTTGCTGTTGATACTGTAACTCATCCAAAATTCCTCACTCAAAAAAATCTTTTCCAGGGGCGCCTGGGTGGCGCACTCGGTTGAGCGTCCGACTTCAGCCAGGTCACGATCTCGCGGTCCGTGAGTTCGAGCCCCGCGTCGGGCTCTGGGCTGATGGCTCAGAGCCTGGAGCCTGTTTCCGATTCTGTGTCTCCCTCTCTCTCTGCCCCTCCCCCGTTCATGCTCTGTCTCTCTCTGTCCCAAAAATAAATAAACGTTTAAAAAAAAAAAAAAACTTTTCCAAACATACTTATAGTGGCATGATAGAAATGGTCAATGTTTTGCTGCCTCACCAAGACAACTAAAAGTAAAACTTTAGAGGACTACTGTCATGAAGTTAGGATTGTACACGTTAATTCTCTATGTACTAAATTTAAAACAGGAGTTATTTGTGCCAGTGTCCAGGATACCCCAGAAATTATACATACATATATAAATGTAGTAGAATTTTTCTAAAGAGATTCATAGACAAAGAAATAGGGTAAGAATCAAAGAAACAAAACTACTTCCTCATCCTTTAATCAAGGATTCTCAACCTTTTGACATCAAAATCTCTTGAGAAGCATTACGAAAAATACACCAACACTCAAGCATCTATCTAGACCATATGTATAAGAATCCCTACAGGTATAGTTGGGCATGAGTATTTTTTTAAGAGAGTAAAGGGCAGCTGCTTCAGATAAACTCATTAGGTCTCTCTCTGTCCCTTGAAGTCACCCAACCATTGATCACATTTTTAGGAGCAAAGAGATGCCCAGATCTCTCTTTTGTATTTTAGTATTTCCAAAATATGAAAATCATCATGGTTTTCAAAATATGTGTTCAAACATAAATAGACATAAAAATATGAAGAAATCACTAAGGACAAATGAAATAGCTATACTGACGATGCACAAAGAATACTCACACAATTTTAATATGGCATTCAAACACTTTTAACAATGTAGGCCCAAACTATGTTTCCATTCTTAATTCTTTTTGGCCTATTAATGACTAGCTTACCGCAGCCCATATATTTCTCAAACAGAAAAAACATACACGCTCAGATCTTTACACAGGTGTTTACTGGCTGACTTGATAATCCTTTACCCAACTGCCTTAGCATGACTCATCAACTCAGTTCAAAAGTTTTTCATGTGTGAAAAAAAGCTATTCCCAAATCAAGAAAGCTATTACTTTTACTCCCAAAGCAGAAATTTAATTTTCTTATATATTAACATTATACTAATCATTGGAATACTGAAATCCAAAGATGAAAAACACCAAAGAAAAATTTTTACTAGATCAAGTCCAATGTATCAGCATACACCATACACTTCCATATGATGCATAATTTTAAAAGCAGGAAACCAAATAAAACTAATTTTTTAATGTTAATGAAAACTGTTATCAGAATGCTAGTATGATACTGATATCTTTTGTGTATTATATCATTCCCCAAGAACTAATTCCTGTATCAGCAGGTCTGAATCATTTATAACCTTCCATAACCTATGCCTATCCACATATATTCCTATTTTATTTCTCAGCATGCTCCAACAAGTAATACTGCTTTTCTAAAGGTATGTGCCCATGCACGTGCACGCACACACTCACACACTCTCCAACCATTATTCCAACCTCCTTGTCTTTTAGAAAGGTGTTACCACCATCCCCAGTCGGCAAGTCTTCAACACCTTTTACCTCCTAACACAAATTCTTAAAATGTCCTTCAAGGAGAGGTTTTTTTTTTTTTTTTTTTTTTTTTTTTTTTTTTTTTTTTTTTTTTTTTTTAAGTTTAAGCGGTCAGCAAAGAGCATCACACAGGGCTCAATCCCATGAACCATGAGGTCATGACCTGAGTGGAGATCAAGTCGAATGCTCAACCGATTGAGCTAACAACCCAGGTGTCTGGAGCGCATATTGTTAATTTGTTTACGTATGCTCACTGTATCCTGTTTTGTATTAGTTGGTTTACTCAAAGGAGACTTAGGGATCTTAAAAAAAAAAATTTGTTGTAATCCCCTACAAAGCAAAGCCAAATGGCAAGTATGTGACAGGGACAAAATGAAGAGAGCATGGAAATGCTAATTAAGTTCTATTTCCTCATTTAGCAGTCAATGAATCCTTACTTCTCTATCTGGCATACATATTCAAACAAAACAATGGACATGTCCCCTTATGCCCAGACCATATATAAACTGATTCTTTGAAACTAACAAAAACACCACCCTCATCTACCTCTGACAATTTGTAAGAAAGTATTTTTCATTTTGTTTATAAAGGGGGGACTCGGGACAACCTGCTTATTGCTCATTACTACAAAAGGGAATGTTTGTTACAAAATTGAACAATAAAATGATTCTTACTTAAATGGCTTTTAACCAGAATAGACAAAACAAAACACCTTTAACATACCTGTCATAATAATCTCGTTGAAAGTCATAGTCCAAGTCAAAAGAGGAGCTGAAAAACAAATACCAAAAAGGATTAATTTGGAGCTGCTGATGTATATTTACAACAGTAGATGGGAAAAACAAAAACAAAAACCATGCAAAACCAATCATAACAAACAGATCAAGAGATTAGCATGGAATAATATCCAATGATTCAAACAAATCACTAAAATTTCAATCATTTTAGAGGCCACTGGACATGCAGCAGCCAATTTGCAAATTTAGGCACAAGTATGCTACAATTTCAACATACAACATTAACAGCTAATACAGGAACACTGAAAAATACAACAATAAACCAAACATTCTTATGCTACCCTCCTTCCCTTTCTTATTTCCCAGCTTCTTAAACTAAACAATTCCTCTTGAAGGATTTCATTTTATGTTAAAAATATCAAACTGCTCTTTAGTAAGTAAAAACCTCAGGGAATTCTAATAATTCTCTGGGAAATGGGCGAAAAGGAGGTATACTAATACAAGATTAATAAAGCATCACTTTTACACAGATAAAACATACTACAGTTAACCCTCCCCACATCCAGAAAACAGATAGAGAAGATGCCCACTGATGGACACAATGCAGTTATAAATAATAAAGTTCCGGACCTGAGTAGAGGGGACGGAGAAGGGTGTTCTGGTACTGACCCGTACATCTCCGCTGCAGATCGTTTCACACCTGCTTTTCCTCGGTTCACTTTTGGCTCTGCAGCCAGATTAATATCTGAAAAAGCAAAAACAAAGACAAAAACTTTAATGACAACTCTGGGTGGGGTAGGGTAGATCTTAAACTAGTTTTAAAATGCGTACACAGTATATAAGTCAACAAAGGACTAACACCGTATCTCATCTTTCCTTAGATAAAAGGGGCTCATGAATTTTTATAAGGCTAAGACTTAGTCTTTCATTCCTTTGTCCTCTGTTCTGTAACAAAGTATTCATTATACATAAAACATTAGGTTTGTCTTTGGTACCTTCTACCCTCAACTGCCACTAAAACTCACTATTCAGAGCATATATTAGGAATGAGTGAGTGAGCTCAGAGACATAAAATATACAGCAATTCATGAATATGGAGTATGGTACCCTCAAATTCTCATTCCCCTTACAAATAAAATCAGCTGTAAAGATGAATAAAAATTGGTTAAGAAATACTACGCAGGGGCACGTGGAGTTGCTCAACTGGGTAAGTGTCGAACTCTTTACTTTGGCTCTGTGCTGGGCGTAGAGCCTGCCTGGGATTCTCTCTACCCCTTCCCAGCTTGCACTCTCTCTCTCTCTCTAAATAAACATTAAAAAAATATATATTATGCAGACTAAACTGCCTAGCAACTGTTACATGAACAAAAAGAAAAGGGAAATAAGGGAACAAAGGAAAAGCCCTAGTTTCCATATGCCTTGTCATTTTTATTTTTTTTTATTTTTTATTTTTTTAATTTTTTTTTCAACGTTTATTTATTTTTGGGACAGGGAGAGACAGAGCATGAACGGGGGAGGGTCAGAGAGAGAGGGAGACAGAGAATCGGAAACAGGCTCCAGGCTCTGAGCCATCAGCCCAGAGCCTGACGCGGGGCTCGAACTCACAGACCGCAAGATCGTGACCTGGCTGAAGTCGGACGCTTAACCGACTGCGCCACCCAGGCGCCCCTGCCTTGTCATTTTTAAAACACATATTCCAACATGGCCAGCTGTTTACCGTTACCCACTGTCTAACAAAAGAATTAATGATTGCTTTCTTATTCTAATTAAGAATACATCTGCCAAAAACCAGCTCTCCAAAACTCAGTTCATCAAATGACCAACCGAAAAACAGAATTTCAGTACACTACCTGCTGAGCACCACTACATTTATGAATAATCTTCAGTTCTTAGTTCACTAAACTCATTTTCAATTTTTAACATTTATTGTTGAGAATATAGTTTTTAAAAATTTTCTAAAACAAAAATAATAAACTATGTATCATGCTAATTACACAACCTTATAGAAGAATTATTTCAAGTGATGATTTAAACTATAGTACTGTGTTGATATCCAGAATAGGATATATACTAATAAAAAGAAACTAAAAGCTAAAATTGCTTTTAATAATCTTAATTTTGGTAAAAACAACAACAACAACACAACAAAACAAAACCTAATAGGCGTACTTATTTTAAAACTGTGGCACAATGCACAAAAGTATGTTTTGTTTTCTAAAAACCAAGGTGCTCCTATTCTTCCCGCTGAAACTAGACAGAAGCTATTAAAAATTCAACAATAATAAACACTCTCAGTGTACAGATCATGGTTTCTATGTAAGTGCCATTTAAAGGAGCCAAGGCTCCTAGAAAAAAGGGGCAAATCGAGATTTAGGTCAAGAAATCTATCAGATGACCTGAAATATCTTGTGATGCCAGAAAGTTAAAGATGCAATAAAATATTACAAGAGTAAGGTGTCTCAAGGACATAGAAACCAATTTGAAGGTGATCCACTGGCCACAGAAGAAATATTTTAAGCTCTAAGGAATGATTTGCAATGCACGAAAATGTATCAATTTAAAATATAAGTTTATGGGGATGCCTGGCTAGCTCAGTTGGTAGAACATGCAACTTTTGTACTTGGGGTTGCAAGTTCTTCAACCCATGCTGGGTGTAGAACAGAGCTTACCTTTTTATTTATCCACTTTGAGAAAACAGAGAAAGAATCCTAAGCAGACTCCACACTGTCAACCCAGAGCCCAATACAGGGCTCAAACTCACGACGACCATGTGATCATGACCTGAGCAGAAATTAAGGAGTTGGAGGTTTCACAAAGTCATCCAGGCACCCCCTAGAGCTTTTTTTTTTTTTTTTTTTTTTAAAAAGGCTAGGGGTGCCTGTGTGCGTCAGTAGGTTAAGTGTCCGACGTTGGTTCAGGTCATGATCTCACGGCTCTTGAGTTCAGAGCCTGGAGTCTGGTTCGGATTCTGTGTCTCCCTCTTTCTCTGCCCCTCCCTGCTCCCGTGTTCTCACTCTCTCAAAAAGTAAACGTTAAAAAAAAATTAAAAAACCAAAAATAAAAAAAGCTAAAATATAAGTTTATATTATTAAGCAATGATTATATTTAATGATTGCTAGATATCAGTTTAGAAAAATTATTTTGCAAGCCCTAATGAAATACGTAGGCAGTAATCATCACTGGATAATCACCATTAAAGTTAAAAACTGATGGGAAACCTTATCATTGATGTGTCAGGATGTAAACTCAGAACCCACAAATTATCCTTAACATCACTAAAAATGGGACCATATTAGGTCACCTGATGTGGTGTAATATAAAACACAGAACACGGTCCATGTAATATTTTCACCAAAATAAATAGTATCTGAATTTTATCAAGCCTCTAGATCTGCAGTCTAAGGAAGTAAGCTGCTAGTCTGAATTCAGATGTGTTTTAAGTATATATTCTCTTATACATCTATTGGACAGCACTGCTCTAGATGTAGCAGTATTACACAAAACAGGTAGAAAACAACAAATTAAATGACACAGTGTGGAACACATTTTCTTCAACAAATTAAATGTCATACATTTTTTAAATTAGAAGGACAGGAAAACTCAGATTTAAAAACATCTAAGAGGGAATTAATCAAACACACATACAGACATGAACTGGATCTTGATTTGAATTAATCAAGTTATTTAAAAAAAAGTTTGAGGGGCACCTGAATGGCTCAGTCAGTTAAATGTCTGACTTTTATCCCTGCTCAGTTAATGAACTCACAGTTCGTGGGTTTGGTCCCACATCAGGCTTTCTGCTTTCAGCGCGGAGCCTGCTTCAGATCCTGTCCCCACCTCTCTCTGCCCTTACCCCTAGCTCTCTCTCAAAAAAATAAAAAGTAAAAAAAAAACCAAAAAACAAAAAACAAAAAACCAACCACAAACCACAAAACAAAAACTTAAAAAAAAAAAAAAGTTTGCAACCAGGGACCAGGGATGCTTGGAAAGCTCAGTCAGATAAGCATCCAACTTTGGCTCAGGTCACTGATCTCGCGAGGTTCATGGGTTTGAGTGGGGTTCTGTTGCTGACATGACAGCTCAGAGCCTGGGGCCTGCTTTGAATTGTGTGTCTCCCTCTCTCTCTGCCCTTTTACCCCACTCACACTGTTTCTCTCTCTCAAAATAAACATTAAAAATAATAACAATAAAAGTTTCAGACTCTAAAGGAAGAAATCTAAACATGGAATGAATTATTTGATGGCATTAAGGAATTTCTGGGAGGCTTTATTTTGGTATGTGATAAGGGCAGTGTGGTTTGCATTTTGTTAAAAGTCCCAGTCTGCTGAATATATGCTGGAGTCTTAAAAAGAGACCTGACTCTAACAAAATTTAAGAGAAAAAAGGGGAAAAAAAGAAACAACAGACGAAAACAAGATTAGTCAAATGTTGGTATCTGGTTGGTAAGACAGGTGAGATGTACATACACACATGCTCATTAAATTCTTCTATTTTTGTATTAGTAAATTTCCATGACCGTTAAAAAATAAACAAGTATCATAAAAAAACCTGACTTCATTTTATGATAGAAAACTGTTTTAGTTCACTTTTGCCACCACACTCATTTTACAGGTATCAAAGTTTTCCCATACTTTGAGTTTTCCTATAGTTTGAATATAGGACAAGTGGGTATGGAAATTTCTTATGTATTCTCAATTAAAACTGTTACTTTTATCTTCAATATCAAGGATTACAAGGTTCTCTAACTTCCAATATTTTTCCTTCCCAATCCATTGTGGTTAAGATTTCTAAAACAGCATTTGAAAAGGGTTTACAAGTGAAATACAAATTACACTAAACTTTTATTCTAAAATCGAAGAGCTTTCATGAAATAGCCACTGAAAAACTATAAACATCCAAAATAGTCTAAAAAGCTGTTGAAGCCTTACAATAAATCACGATATAAAGTATTTATTAAATGCTACAATCATTATGAAATGCTCAAGTTTTATCTAGTATTAGAGGGAAAATCACCAACATGAATACACTGAAGGAGGAAAGAACCCACTCTAACCTGGAGAGGAAGGCAGTTAGAAATTAAAATGTTTAAATTCGAATTCAAATTTGCACATTATACAACTGAATACAAAGTCCTGAAAATGCTGAAAACAAAATGGAAACTTAAATAAGCCTCTACAGGAATCATCAGAAAACTAAGTTCTCAATTATGAATTGCTATAAACTTTATAAACCTAAATAATTGTTAAATTGATAACCACAGTATCCTCAACAATGCCACTAGCCATTATGTGGCATTCAAAATATATGTGCTTATTCCTTTTTATTCATAAAAAAAACAGAGAAATTGACTTCTCTTACTGAACCCTTCAACTTCCCTAATATTCACACCCAAGAAAATATAAGCTATATAAAATTACTATGATTCTGACAGCAAATCTTAGCAACTGGTAAGTTGTTAGAAAACTATTCAAGGAGATGAAATTCTGTAAGACTTATGTGCTAAGTCTTAATATGTAATGAAATCTTCTGAAGTTTAGAATATAAACTATTATTAAATAGGGCTTAAATCTCATTCTAAAATATCTGAACATACTAGATCAGAGCAGACACTTATTGGGAAAACTAACACCTACGACAAAACCACTTTGTGCTGCTAATGCTGAAATATATTTAATAATAAGTACCTTTTATTAAGTGTAACATGCTAGACTATACTTGAAGCTTCTCATGAATCATCTCAACTAAGACAAATTCCTGATAACACCAAAGTACTATTACCTCAGGTAAGAACAGATAATAAACTCTGAGGCACAGTTTTTAAAAACTAAGAAAATTTAAGGCTCAGCCAAGCTATGCAGACTGCCCAATACACAGTTATGAATCGCCAATGCAGAGCCAAGCACCCGGCTCCACAGCTCAAGAATGACTAAGCTATATTGTCTTCACCTCATCCCTCCTGTGAATGGTAGGACACAGTTATTAGGCAGCAACTGTTCCTTATCTAACACGTCATTCCTATTCTCCTGACCTTACTCAAGACTGCCAACTGAAGCTTATCCAAACTCTGCTACACAAAATGGAATAAAATCCTTAGCCAATTATACCTACAACCCTAACATTTTTTGACTGTTAGCTTAATGGAAAAGGGACAGAAAAACGAAGCTTGAATAGAAAAATCTAGATCTGGGGGCACCTGGGTGCCTCAGATGGTTGAGTCCAAGTCTTGACTACAGCTCATGAGGTCATGACATCAGTTTGTGAGACTGAGCCTTGTGTCAGGCTCCACACTATCAGCATGTAGCCTGCTTGGGATTCGCTCTACCAGTACCCTACATGCACATGGGTCTCTGTTTCTCTCTCAAAACTAATAAACATTAAAAAAAAAGAAAAATGACTGGTATGTGAATTATACAATCAATGAAAAAATTAATTCAACCCAGATCTTACCTAAAACCTGGCCAGCAATCATTCTTCCATCCTCTCCTGCCACAGCAGCCCGGGCATTTCTCTCATTAACATACTGAACGAAGGCAAAGCCCTTATGAACAGAGCAACCCACAATTTTGCCATATTTTGAGAAGATTGCCTCCACATCAGATTTCTTGACCACAAGAGTGTTGAGATTCCCGATGAATACACGGGAGTTCATGGAGCGAGGATCTGTCTTGTTGGTAACATTGCTTGCCATGGTCTTTGATGATACGGTTGTTCACAAAGCCGAAAAGCTGGAAGGAAAAAAAAATGCGTTCAGGTGAAAAGGAGATAAAAACAAAATACTCCTCGATGAAACTTTCTACTCCTTATTTTGAACCACTGTGACTAGAGTATCAGTCAACCAAAAGGACTGTCATAGCAGCAAGTTATTGAGAGGAGAGCTCCTGAATATATGTATTCTTATAAAAATTTAGCTCCCTCTTCCCCAAGTCTATCCCATGAGGGGCTGGGGGGGGGGGGTCCTCTTCAGAGACTACTAGTAACACAATCACGGACATTATTAATTTTAAGTGACCATCTCTGTTCTAAAGTCCTGAAGCAAATTCGAAATCCTTAAGCTTTCTACTACAAATTTCTCAGATTTGTAACCTTACCCCTCATACTAACCTAACCATTCCTTGCCACGTATAAAGAACTCCAGCTTCTTGCACAGTGCTATTACTAAAACGAGTCTCAACTATTCCAAAGATACATAAAACTCTGAATTCTGCCCACAAACAACCATTCTTTAGCTAGATAAATGTGGGCAGCTGACACCCTCAAGTATAATTAACCTTATTATACTAAAGCAATATATAGACCCAACTCATTCACTCTGGAACTAATATGCCAGAGGTATCTCCAGTATCAGTACTAGCACTTTACACAATGTACTGACTCTTGACCTACTTTACTTTTTATGTGATAATCTACAAAATACAGTTGGGACATTTACTACTAGATGATGATGATGATAAAACTAGTAAGTAGAACACTGCATGAATCAAAAGGGGACCAAGAAAACTACTTTCCTCAGACTTTTTTCAAAACAAAAATTATCTTTATGTATGTTATAAAGGTTCAATCACAATTACATGGAGATTCATGATACTACCATCTTAGGTCTTTTTTTTATGTGAGAAAAGTTTTGACATTCTTTAAGCTTTTTTATCCGCTGCCCCTTCCCACTCCAACTACCAAACTGAAGATGAACCCACTTTAGATTTAGAGTAACATTCTTAAGATTAATTTTTCCCCATTCATCCTTTTGAAACTCAAATCAGATATCAGGCTCTTTCCAATCCTCAGGAGAAATCATGACAAACTAGTTCTCATGGATTATGTAAAAATATATTCTATATATGTATGTTAGCAAAACAGTACAACATCATTTATACAGACCACTGGTATTTTTTTTTTTTTTTGGACCACTAATATTCTGACCCTTAAAACACCTAGTCCTTTCAAACAGTACTGATTTCTGTTTTAATTTTCTTTACATTTATTTATTTTTGATAGAGACAGAGCACCGGTGAGGGAGGGGCAGAGAGAGGAGGAGACACAGAATCGGAAGCAGGCTCCAGGCCTCGAGCTGTCAGCACAGAGCCTGATGCTGGGCTTGAACTCACAAACCATGAGATCATGACCTGAGCCAAAGTCGGACGCTTAACCGACTGAGCCACCCAGGCGCCCCACAAACAGTACTGATTTTAAAGCTGCCAAAACCATTTTTCCCTCCTAGCCATTCTAAAATTCAAGAAATTGTCTTTATTTGATTTTGGTTTCTAAATTATAGCTTTATAAACAGTTCTTAAATTTTAAGACTAAGAAATAAAAATTTATCAAACAGCAGTCGTGAGAGTCGTGAACACATTTTCAACTCTAAGTGTGAGTGCCAGAAAGCCTTAGAACACCAAAAACAAAAATGAAATGAAAGGCGTAACTGGTTTCAAATGTTACTGCTGGCTATTAAAGTTTCCTATTATTGTAAATGGGGACAACTTAAGCCAGGTTTCTACAAATGTTTATCATGAGAAACAAACATATATTCTACATGTTATGGTAAATAATAATAAATACAGGAAAAAAATCTTCCTGGGTTTAATTAGAAATTACCTGTAAGGGAAAAGAGGATGGTTCTACATGCTATCAGTATACTGAACAAGAGGGTAAACCACCAAACAATGGACATTAATGCCTGCTTCAAATATACTCCTTGGAACCACAAAACAAATGGACTTATATGACCGTTTTTCCAATTTTCACAAAGATGGTAGGTATATAGCTTGTACCAATCTAGAAATATAGAATTCATTATATATAAAGAATGCCACTGGGCATTACGGATTAATTCTTAAGCAACTCCATTTGGAAAGGCCAGTAAAGAAACATCCAGACACAAATAAGAAGGTGGTAACTTTGGGTGCCATCTCTGAGTTTAAGAATATGATTTTATCTTTTAGGTGATTATATATGGTTTCTAAATTTGCTACAAGAATCATGAATTGTTAACAGAAAAATAATATATTGACCTCAACTTCAAAGGCTTGGCTAAAGTGAATGGTATAGCTTTCAATGCCCATACTCACTGTAAGGATTTAATCAAAATATGAGCAATAGTAAAGACAAATGAACCCACAAAGATTCATTAATCCCAGTTCAAGGACAAACACATCTTCCTAAAAAAAAAAAGGGTTAGTACAAATAAATACATTTTTTCACTGAACATGTATCTGAGAAGTACGAGCTACCAAGGCTACTTCAGAGGAAAAACAGCAACAGCTACAATTCCTCAGAGTTTACACTCTAGTAATACTACTGTTTAATATTTTATTGAAAGGGCCCCGGGTAGCTCAGTCAGTTAAGCATCCAACTTTGGCTTGGGTCAGGATCTCATAGCTCGTGGGTTTGAGCCCCATGTAGGGCTCTAGGCTGACAGCTCAGAGCCTGGAGCCTGTTTCAGATTCTGTGTCTGTCTCTCAGATATAAACAAACATAAAAAAAAAAAAAATTATTGAAGAGAGGAACAGATTACCCAAAATTTTACCAATTTTACAAATATAAATTATCTCAGTTCACATTTCACCCTACCTCTAATCCTTAAGGTACCTTACCCCTGAAATCTCTGTTGGGGAGGTAGGGATGGATAGTGACCAATATCCCAAATGCAAAGAAACTATTGGGAAAAAACAGATTCTCAAAAGAAAGCACCAACAGCAGAGCATAGTTTTTGATCTTTCTGAATCCCCAGATAAAAGCAACTAGATTGTGAGCTTTAGTGTCAAGGTACCCCAATGAAAATGCCAAAATGCCAGGCTGGTAAGGAAGCCAACGGCCCATGCAACAGCCCACGTGGGGGAAATAGACTCAGGAATTGAAGAATCCCCAAATATCCATTTACTGGATAGCCAAGGGAACCAATTTTAAGAAAAGCAGTTGAAACAGTGTGTTTCCTGTTCCAAGTGTAGGTGAGTACAAGGCACTATTGTAAAAATCTCTAGGTACCAGAGCCTCTACAAAATCTCAAAACTAAGAAGCCCTCTATGTGCACCATTCCATTCTCAATCACTTTCCAACCTCCAAAAGTTAACTATCGCTTTTTTTTTTTTTTTGGTGAAGGCTTCAAGCCCAGCACAGAGCCCTAAGCAGGGCCCGAACTCAAAATCCTCAAATCAAGACCTGAATTGAAATCAAAAGTCGGATGCTCAAAGGACTGAGCTACCCAGGTGTGCCATATCACTTTCTTTTCAAAATAATTCTATCACGTTGATGTATATCCCTAGTTAGTAGTCTTACCCATTAAAGCGAATTTGATGTGTCTTTTATGGCTTCTTTTAGATATGTTCCTCTTCCATCCCTTTAACTCAAAACAACTTCTTTGAAGAGTACGGGGTATTCAAACCTCAAGTTTCCCAGTCTGGATTTCCCATAATTTCATACTCTTAGTGCAATTACACACACACGTCTTTTTTGTGATATTACTGCTTAAATTCTACCATGACCTAAAATTATAGTATCTCAGGTTTATCTCTAACGTATTACTCAGAATTCATGAGAATATTTTCTCAGTTCTTACATGTTACTAACAGTTGGCCTATGCGGTCTATACTTGTCAGTCAGTTTTGCTGGGTATGAAATTTTATCACTGCATTTTCTTTCCTTAAATATGTGGTTTCATTTACTTCTCAACTGTCACAGTTCATTCCAAGGTGCAAACCTTGTTGGCAGAGTTGTATTTTTATGGACTTTAGTCATTAGAGGTTTTGCTTCCTAATTATTTTTCTCGACCTAACAGAAATGGAACAGACGTAAATGAATTTATTTGAGGCTACATTATGGGTCATAAAGGTTTACACTTGAGTAATTTTTCCTCATTGGGCAGATTTCTCCTAGCTTTTTAAAAATAAGTGCTAGGGGGCGCCTGGGTGGCGCAGTCGGTTAAGCGTCCGACTTCAGCCAGGTCACGATCTCGCGGTCCGGGAGTTCGAGCCCTGCGTCGGGCTCTGGGCTGATGGCTCAGAGCCTGGAGCCTGTTTCCGATTCTGTGTCTCCCTCTCTCTCTGCCCCTCCCCCGTTCATGCTCTGTCTCACTCTGTCCCAAAAATAAACGTTGAAAAAAAATTTTTTTTTTTAAAAATAAAAAATAAGCGCTAGGCAAGAAGATATGGGTGGAAGTGCTGCCTAGCTTAAATAATCAGATCCAAATGCTACAGTCTTCAAGACATACATCAGATTTCAGTATAAAAGCAGTTGCAGAACAAGTTAACTTTTGTTTTACCTTACAAACATCTATAGCATGTTATATTCTACATGCATTTTCGTACAGCAGATTTTTAATTTTTAACTCAGCATTCTAATTACCAGCAATTACAGTCTTTAGACTAATCTGCACATCACTTTAGGTGTGCCTGGCTGGCTCAGTGGGGGAAAGCATGCAACTCTTGATCCCAGGGTGGAGCCTGAGCCCCTCATTGGGTGTAGAGATTCAACAAAAACAAACAACTTAAAGAGAAAAATCTGGCAATTACTTTAAATAATGTGGGGAATTATGATTAAATGTTTAGGTCGAAAAGCAACATATATAACTGTATGGTAAAAGGAAGCACATATATTCACATAAAAGTCACATGCTTACAAAAGATAAAGCAATAATATTTTAAAATGTTGTCCTGTGGGTACTCTGCTTTCGGTTAATGCTTATTATGACCTTCATAGTCTAGTTCCTCAAGCTAGTTTATAAATTCCACAACTT